CCTGGCCTCATTTTTGCCACCTTCCCCAGAGGACCTGCTGGGCCCTCAGTACGGGACCCTCCCGAAGAACAGCATGGGAGGAGCAGTCAGGGAGGACTTCCTGGAGGCAGCAACTGGTCAGCACAGGAGAAGGGTGAAACGTGAGATTTGGAGTGTGGGAAGGCGAAGAGAGATGCCTAGGGAAGCAGACCAGGGACCCGAGCAGAACACCCCAGCTGGAGAGAAGGCTGGCCGGCTGACATGATGGAAATGGCTTCTCTACGCCCTGCCAGCAGGCAGGGATGCAGGCTTGGCGTGGTAGGGCGGGCCAGCTGGCCCGAGCGGTGGACGGGCCCAAGAGCCGACAGATCCCTAGTAGGCAGCAGGCTCAGTCCACGCCACCATGGACACGGGGACAAGGCAGGGCTCGGGATGAAGCAGGGGACGCGGAGAACCCACCGGTACAACAGCTTGGTTCCACCTCCCTCCCACCCAACCCTCTGCGGGCCAGCAGGGGACGCCGGACGGCACGAGGCTGCCACCTGGCGGCGGCTCCTCACAACGACACGGCTGTGGCAGGTCTGGCCAACGGGCAGCCCCGGGGCGGGGCGGGGGAGACCTCAGGCTGGGCAGCTGCTGGCCAGCCCCTCCCCTCTGACTCTCCACCAGCGAACTGAAGAGGGTCGGGGTGTCAGGCCACAACTGGAATCCACCCAGAAAGAGCAGCTCTCGAGGAAAGACAAGGCCCAAAGCGAAGCCCACCAAACTCCTCGCCGGGGGTGGGAACTCAGGTGCGTCAGAGCCTCCACAGGAGCCTGACGGCGGAAAGGGCACGGGAGGCACAGGGGTCCCGAGGCTGCAGGACGCTCCGGGCCCATTCGCTACTGACGGCGCTCCTTGGGAAACACCCCCGGAGGCGCTGGTGCCGTGAGCAGGGTCAGGTGGGGACACCAGAGGACGTGGCACTTGCAGGGCTCCGGGTTTAAGGTGGCACAGAGCAGGGAGCCCGAGCAGGGGCTGTGACAAGGGAACAGGACTTCTCTCTGGGCCTTTACCCCAGCAGGTGAGCGCACGTCTTCCCCTTCTCTCCGTCTGCCTCGTGGGGTTCCTCACTGGGCCTTCGGGCAGCTGGGGGCAAGTTCCAGAGAAGCCCAGCTTGGTCACAGGTGGGAGGTCGGAGACCCGGACGGAGCCCCGCTCTGTTGCCCACCCACCGCTTACGAGTTAGCACCCAGGGTCGGGCCCCACGCACAGATGAGCGCCGGCCACAGAACCACTGCTGCCTTTATTGGCTCCAGCCCGGTGGGAAGATGCTTCCAGACAGGCCACTCAGGCCGCC